GTACACTTCATCATTAGTAGTGCGGGAGCTCCAGTGCACATTCAGGGCTTTCCTCAGCATACGGGTATAGGCACCACTGAGTGATTTCACCATAGACTCCGTCATGGACCAGCTTTCACATCCATACAGCAAGATTGACTCGACTGTGGCAACAAAGAATCGTTTTTTCAAAACTGGGTTCATAGTGGACTTCCAGATGTTGGTCATGTCGTTGAGGGCTTTCCAGGCTAGTGCTTTTCTGATATTGACGTCTTTTATCGACTTATCAACCCAGGAGCCAAGATATTTGAAATCGTCTTTTTGCTCCAACACAGTTCCTGATCTGGTTGAGGAGTGTGTACGTCTATGTTGTAGGCCAGGTACTTTGTTTTGGGACCATTCAATCCAAGCCCTACTTTGCTGCATTCTGTCTCAACTCTGAGGAGGAGCTCTTGGGCTTGTATGATGGCATCAGACAGAAGAGCAATGTCATCTGCGAAATCGAGGTCGGCAAGAACGACTTTTGGGTACCTTCTGGATCTTCTGGGAGTTATAGTGAAACCTAATTCGTCTTCCTTCCCGTCCGACAATGCTTTCCTCATAGCATGGTCAAGCACGATGATAAATAGGAACGGCGCGAGTGTGTCTCCTTGGAGGACTCCAGCAGAGATGTCAAATTGTTCTGTCACTCCGTCAGGTGTCGAAACTCTGGCCCTCGTGTTTGTATACATTGATTCAATTGCTCTTAACAAGTTAGGAGGAATGCCATATGCCTTTAGGATACGCATCATTTTTGCTCTGTGGATGGAGTCGAACGCTTTTTTTGAAGTCAATGAAGGTGATAATGGCTGGAAGGTTGTTGGCCTTCACCCCTTCAATTATCCTTCGAAGTTTGAGAATCTGTGCAACTGTAGTGCGTTCGGGACGGAAGCCATTCTGGTTCGTGCGTAGCTTAGGGTTGATGACGCTGCGTATCAACTTATTAAACATCTTTGCTAGTATGCACATCAKACTTATSCCTCGATAGTTGTTAGYGTTGGACAGGTCACCCGACTTTGGGACAGGGATGATATTCATGAGGGACCACAGGTCAGGCTTGTCGCACTCCAATAGGGCCCTGTTACAAAAATTCAGGCAGATCTCATCAAAGTCACAGGATTTGAGGACCTCGGGGGGGATGTTGTCTGGCCAAGCCGCTTTCCCTAATTGGAGGGAAGCCTTTACTCTTCTGAATTCGTCGAGAGTGAAGGGTTCATCGTTGATTTCAAGGTCTTCTACTGTAGGGGGTTCCCCCAGAAGCTTCTGGAAGTGGGTAAACCATGTTGTTACTCGTTCTTCAGGGCTATTGCCCGAGACCTGCCCTTCTTTTGCTTTCTTACGTCCAGTCACCCGGTTGACTAGTTTCAATGCTTCCCCGTACTGCATGGTTCCACATGTGGACTCTATGGCCATTGTTTGCTCTTCAAGTTCCTCTTCCTTAACCTGGTCGTAGGTTTCATACAGCTGGTTTACAGCGAGCTTCCAGGCAACTCTATTTTCATCAGTGCTATATTTTTCCCACCTATCATGTGCCGCCACTGCCTTCTCTCTCGCCTGGATCACCCTTGGATTTGTAGAAGTGTGGCAGTTTTTCCTCTTGGGTTTAACAGGAACACACTCCTCCATAGCCAGCTTATTGGCCTCCACAAAGTCGTCATAACATGCACCTCCATCTACCTCGAGCAGCARAAACCGATTCTTGACAAGCACTGTGTACTGCTCTTGGATTTCAGGTGAGGCTAGGAATTTCTTCCAGTCGTATTTGATTTTCCTGGTATGTTTGGAGGTTCTTAAACTTAGTTTGAACTTGGCACAGACKATTCTRTGATCTGAGCCCACAGTGCAGAAAGAATTGTAAGCCTCAGCATTCATCAGGCTGTTTCTCCACTTTTTGCGTATCAATATGTAATCCAACTGGCGTAGTGAATCTGATGCTCTGTCTCTGAATGTCCATAGCTTCCCTCGTCTTTTCTGGAATTGACCATTAGCAGCCAGAAGACCAAATTCAAGGAGAAGGTCGGCCATGTACGAGCCATTTCTATTGGTAGCGTCATGGTAGGTGTGTGGAGCTACCTCAGGGCCAATCCTAGCGTTAAAGTCTCCAAGTATGGTGAGGAAGTTGTGAGCTGGTATGYCTTGTAAGGTATTTCTCAGTGCTCTGTAGAACTCCTCCACGACGCTAACCTCAGCGCTGTTGGTCGGYGCGTAGATGACGAGGACAGTTGTTCTGGGGTTGCCGTCAAACTCCACACGCATGATGCGGTTGCATATTCTTTTTGCGTCTAGTAGAGCTTTTTTGGCTCTCCTGCCCATTAGTACACCTACTCCTCATTGTGCAGCCTGAGCTTCATTTCTCCAGCCAGATGAGATGATGAAGTTGCTGGAGCCAATTGTCCTGCACTCAATGTTGTTGGGGTCGGGAAGGATGATTCGGTGCTCTTGTACCCCGAGTATGTCAATGTTGGCATCGTTTCTTTGCTGTTCGCATTCAGCGACTCTGCTTACTGCCCTCAGARTGTTGGCGTTAAAGGTCCCCATCCGAAGCAAGGACCTACAACGCAGTAGTGCCTCTCCACTTCTGCTGTTCTCGGACGAATCCCTCCGTCTGGGGCGGTTTGTGGATGCGTCTTCATTCAGTCTCCCTGAGTTCACAAGGGGACTAGCTTCAGCGTTGATGGCTGGGTTCCTGCACACTCCCGGTGCTGGAAGTATAGGATTTGCGTTTAGAAATTCCATGTTTCATCTTTTCAAGGCTAAATAATCCGCATGGGTCACCAGGTCTCAAGCGGATTGATATATATATATATTATATATGTAAATAAATATATATACAGCTGTTTGCAATAATTCTGACCCCCTCTGCCATATTTCATATATATCAAACTGACCTTAAATATTATGGGATATAATGACTGATATATTTTTTGAGTTGCCCAGAATGAGTACTTTCTCAAACAAATATCAGCATTGTTATCCCATAATTTCTAAGGCTACTTTGATATATATGAATATTAGTGTAGGGGGGTCAGAATTATTGCAAATAGCTGTATATATTATATATGTAAATAAATATATATATCTTCAATGACTATGCATGATGGCCGGTGGCTCAAATGAGCTCATTCGCCCTTTGACAGGTTTTGTTTTTAATCCTGCTGGGGTTCATGCCACCCTCCTCACCACTGTAGACTGGTGGGGGAGCCGGTTTAGACGCCGACAACCCGTCCATGAGGCAGGTTGTACTGGGTTACAATGTTACCAGTAGCAGACTATCAGCCTGACCTGACCTTGAAGTTGAAATGAAGACATGATGGAAGTCTAACACAGCGTAAAAGAGATCGCGAAACTCGACTATTCCCGGACGGGTTTCTGAAGCATGTTGGCTTTGTCTTCTATTCATTGCATTTCTAATTAGCGTAATTCATAAGATTTAAAAGCATGTTATTTTCCGAGAAATCGCATCAGAAACTCGGTGGTATAATAG